TCACTCAAAAAGGTTGTGCACCCCTAGTATAGAGGAATGGAAAAGTGATTTTCTGAAAAATATTTATTAAATGTTTGAAGTGAAATGTTTCTGAGTGGCTTAGATTCCAGATTTTAAAAATAATGTGAAACAGGTAAAGAAAATAACTAGTTTTTTATCTTCAAAAACTGCTAAACTTAAAGATATATATGCTGGTAAGTATAGTGATCAATATAGAGTTTTAGAAAACTAAAGCACTTTCGAAACAGTCAGTGATTTTCAAACAAACTTTGTCAAAATTAGGTGGTGATGAGGTAAAAACTAGTGATAAGAGTCAATTAATTGTTTGGTAAAAGTTTATTAATTGATATTTTGTGTTTGCTGAAAATTATTCATTTTATCTAAACCATCATTGATTCTTAGGTATAAATTCCTAATTCCAATATTTTTGTTATTTTTTTTTTCTTCTTTTTTTTTCCTTTGAAATTGTGTTCTCTCATGCCAGTATCTTAAAATTGAAATTTTTATGTTGCATAAAATAAGAAACTGTTTGATACTCATTTTGAAAGATGACATAGATTGTCGGTATTTCAGAGAATAATATTTGAAGACGAGATATTTTTAAAAATTGATATAGAAAATAAAACTTAACCTAGCTAAAAAGATGTTAAAAACAGAAATTGTTATAACTATTCTTATGTATAAGAAATTGTTATTCATGGGTGATGTTAAATCGAGTTCTATGCTGGTAAAAAAGATAGGGAAAGGAAGAAAGCAATAGACCAGTTATCTACTGAAGGTATGAAGATGCCAGAGAGTGCGTTTAAAAGAAAGAATTTTGAATAAATCATTCTTGCTCATGGAATGTTTTGTGGTGTGAAGAAACTAAGATGCTCTGAAGCAGAAACTTCCAAAGAGCTTTCTTAACTTGTTAAGCATACTTAAAACGAATCAATAGATATTCCTTTTTACTTTAAGAAACAACCTAAACCTTAGATAAGTAATTTTAAACTTTAAAATGAAGAACATAAAAAAATCTTTTTTAATCTAATGAAATCCTGAAATTAAAAATCTTAAAAATTAAATTTTTTTACTTAATTTTAATTATAATGTTGTAATATTAACTGTTCTGTAAGTATTATTTTTTATTATTGCTCATTCTTTTAATGAAGCATAAAATTTCACAGTAATCTCTCACTTAATATATATATGAATTACTAAAATGTCTACTTGGAAAAGAAATGGTTAAACATATATATGTCTGTTAAAAGTGTAAAATTTATGAAAAGTATTGAGTGCATCTATATATTGAATATCCCCTATCTAGACATTTTTTTTGGGGGGGGGGAATTATTTTTAAAAAGTTAATCTCTTTTTGTTTTTAATTCCCTTTCCTAATTTTTTGGTTAAGTCACTTTTTTGGAGTTCCAAGCTACTGAAGACCCTAAATGTAGTTTACAAATATTATGCAGTTTACTATTATTTCATCTAAAACACAATTGTTTCATTTAACAGCACTATAGCCTAGTGCAGGCCAAGGCTTTCTCAGTCCGCCTTTTCCAGACAGTTCGACTTGTAGCTAGATTTCTCCATCTATACTCTCCCAATACTTTTGGCTTCCTCTCCACACAAACCACCCACTTTGGTACCGTTATCCCTCTATTCCTTGTACCCTCAATCTTTGTAAATGTTAGTTTTTTTATCTGCATCAGAATCTTCATGACCAAATAACGATCGGTATAATTATATTTTATTGCTTTTTTTACTACTTTTAGGCCTGGCATTTCTTTTTTTGTGTTATTAACAAAGCTTTTTGAGTTCTGACTGAATGATATAGTTTGTGTTATTAATGAAATAGAGAAGATAGGAAAATGACAACATAACTACTTGATTTTTAAAATCACTTGAAATAGATTTTTCTCTGAAAATATCTTCCTGTTCCTACTGCAAGATTTATTTTAATGAAATGGCTTATCAATAATACATTTAAATGTAAATAAGTAACACTAGCATCATTTATGTATGTTATAGAGAAATAAATATAAACGTCTAGGAAAATGACACATTTTGTGAAGCATACAAATAGACTAAAAAACTTATTTTTACAAAATATTTTGGAAATAATTCCTTATATATGTACACCAGATATACCTTTAACAGTTTAGAAGTAAATAATTTAACAGAGAAATGTATATGTGTGCAGTTTTAAAGCAAGTAATTATTGAAAACGTTACTGGTAACGTGCAAAGAAAAGGACATTTTGAAACTTAACGCACACACACACATATATATAATTGTTAAAATATAAGCTGACAGTAAAACTATAAGTTTTTAAAAAAATTCATAATTTTACGCTATGATATTATATTTCTGTGGCAATTACGTTGTATTTGGTGATAATCACCCATTTGTTTCAGGCATGCTGCTTGTAAGAAAAGCAATATAATCCAAATCATTTATGATAGAATTATTATATTTATTTATTTTTATTGTGTGCTTTTATTTATACTGTGAAAGTTATTTATGAAAGGACTGTTATTCTATTTTAGGCTTTTCCCCAAGCAGAAGGGTGGCCTTTTCCTCATTATTATGGATCCTGCGGCAGGATTATTGTTGAAGAATATGTTGGAAGGACTTTAACTTATTTTGAAGATGCACCTTGGAAGCAAAGAATTGATATTTCATATCAACTTCTATTAATTGCTCAAATGTTAACTGAAAATTTTTCAAACTTTGCTCTCTACATGACTGATGTAAATATGGATAATTTTGCTGTGCGATCTGATGGCACTGTCTTGTTGATTGATGTTGAAGGAATTGTTGTTGTAGATCGTTTTAAAACAAAGGGTGAGCTTGACTATTTTTATAAATTCAAAGATATTTCATTACGTGCCACTAAGCAATGGAATTCAAACCTTAAACCCTGGTTTGTTGAAATAATTTATGAATTTTCAAATAAAAAAAAATTAAGGTTGAAATATGAAAAATCATTAATTTATTTCAGTATTAAATTATGTTTTAAGTGGTACCAAAATTTATATATATTGTAATTTCCATTGTTATTTTTATTTTAATGTTTAAAATTGGTGCATTTGTACCAGCTGAATCACATCACTAAATAATCTAATTAATTGCGTAAACAGGCACTTATATTTTATCTGAAATTCTATTTATATTCTTTATCGACTTATATGTTAAAGTTTTTGCTAGTTTAATCTCTTTACTAAAATCATAACTGACGTGTATGTATGTATGTAACTAACAAATGTGTTACTAATTTTTTTTGTGTGTTTTTTTATTAGTCTTATCCTATTGTATTGAGAAAAATGTAACCTTTTTTAGAACAATTGTAACTTTAATTTAAATTCTTAACAAAAGTTTTGTTGGTTTTCATTGTTTTATGCCTTCTGGTGAAATGTATATATTATAATTTTTTAGGAAGCATTATAAAAAATAATTGTGAGGTACCAATCACTTTTTTTTTTTTTAATAAAATCTTTTTAGAAGAAGATAAAAGCATAACAAAAGAAAAATGCTTTATGGATTCGAAATCATGTAAATTTCAATTTACTGCTTTTAATGTTAGTTAAAAAGTTTGATTCATTTTGACAGAATATATAAAATTTTAAAACTTTGTTTTGATATAAAGTATAATAATCCTAAAAATATTTCAATGATCTAAACTTTTCATTGTTCTGATACATTTATTTATGAGGTTACTATAGAGCAACAAAGTTATTGTCTAAAATGTTAGTAAAAAGTTTGCATGCGCAAATGTGAATGACAAAGTTTGTTATTTTTCTTAATGATTAAGATTGTACAGTGCACAAAAAAAAAAGTTTAAAATATAGGACCACCCTGAAAAATTTTTAATCTAATTATCTGATTTTCACGTACTATTACTCAATCTTTTTTTTTTTTTTTTTTTTTTNCGAATTTCTAACTCCCAAAATAGCCACAATCTGGGAAATATGGTCCCAATAGTTTGGTCAGGAGAGTGCTCCAAAGTTTGGACACTCAATGTTAATTTTACTTTTTATGTATTTCACTATATTTCGAGAACTTTGAAAAACAAAGTGAAAAATTTTTGTATACAATTATGAAATTTGTTATCCGAAGATAATTCCATACAAAAAGACATTTTTACTAAATATTTATTATTTTTTTTTCAATAACAGTCGAAAAAATTTTGAATTGTAACGTATAAAAATTTTTGCATCATTTTAAAGAATATCATTTTATAAGGCAAAATACAAAATTTGAGTTAACTCGTTCAAATAGTTCCTGAGAAATTTAATTTTAAGTATCTATCTATTTTAAAGTTCTATTTCTAGGAAACTTTTAAACCAATTTTGCTCAAATTTTGTATTTTGCAGTGTAAAATATGCCCTCAAAAATTATGCAAAAAATTTTATGCCTCACAGTTCAGAATTTTTTCAACCATTATTAAATAAAATAATAATAAATGTTTACTGAAAGATATTTTTTGCATGGAATTATCTTTGGATAAAGGAATTTTATAATTGTGTGCAAAATTTTTTGACTCGCTTAAAAAGTTATCAAGTAATATTAACATTAAGGGGTCCAAACTTTGGAGTACTCTAACTATTTACACTTTGGAGTGTTCAAACTATTGGGACCATGTTTCCTAGATTGTGGCTATCCCCTATATTTTCTTCCCAGTAGTTTTTAATCTAACACCTATGTTTAATGTGTTGAATGTTGTTAATATGACTTTTCCATATAAAAACTAACAATGAGTACTCAAACGTACATGGGAATGAAATATCAGATTTCCATATGGCAGACTCTAATTTTCCATGATAGCAAGAGAAAATTCATGTATTCCAAAATAGCTGTCTCAGTAGACAACCATATATATTTTTTTAATATATAATAATTAGGTAGTTCAATCCTTAATATGGAGAGGATCTCTGGTTGTTCAGGCATAAGTTAGAAAATATGCAATTTAAATATGAACTCCTGTTTTCTGAGCTAGAGCAGCATATTATATTTTTTTGAAACTGTAAACTATTGCCTGAGTGTGCCTGTTTGGACTCCCGTTTGGTTAGGCAATTTGTTGAAATTGGATTAATTGTAAGTTAACTCCCAGATCTGCCATCTAATGATGTGAATGAGTCTGGAATTCTTCTAGATAACTTATTTGCTTGCAGAATTTCAAGGCTCAAAATAGGCAACCAGTGTATATCATTCAGTTTAATGTCAGTCATTTCATTTGAATAATTTCTTTGCTTTGTGGTTCCTAATTTAGGCTTTAAAATAAATGTTTTTAGATTTACTGTTGAAATTAAATGTAATATATTATGTTAACATTTTAGTTGACCTAATTTAGTGTTATGTATTACATCACAAACATGGTCTGTCAAGTCAGAACCTTTAATAAGAACCTCTTAATATAGTTGTGATAATGCTTGCGTTGTGCTTTAATACGCAAAATATGGAATATAATACTTAAACTCAAGCATTTTCTCAAAAGTAAAGTTACAAGGATAACTAATACTATTCTACTGAGAATATTTCTACTGCATTAAACTGTTAAAATTTTTGCAAAAGTTTATTTAATTTTCATATTACTCTTATATATTATGTGTATATTATTAATATGAATTTTTAGTTTATTTGTTATTTGTGCTTCTCTCGTGGGGAAAATACTCTAAGTAAATTACAAATTTTTTAGATGGTAATACACATTTTAGGAAGAGAAATGTAATATAAAAAGCAATAAAAGGTATAAGACTGATTTTGACACAATTTTTATTTAAAGAAGGTTTAGTTAAAATTTTAATTTTATGTTTAGTGAGCTGGGGTCTTAAAATTATAAATTGCATTATAATTTTTTTTTAAAAAAGGACAAATTTGAGCTTAAAAATTACAAATTTTTCATGTCACACTAACAGCTCTACAACAAATTGTAATGCACAAATTTCAAAAAAAAATTTTCTTTTTATAGATCAATAAGGTGATTACCTTCGTTTTGAACTAAACACATTAATATCAATTTTTAAAGAAAGATTCTAAATGTTCTTACATAAGGTTTGATAAAATTAGCAAATTCAAACTTAGACTTTAGCTTTTGATTCTGAACATCCTAACATTATTCGAAGTCTACATTCAAAATTTTAAGGAATTCTATTATAAAAGTGTTTTGTAATGCCTGTGAGAGAAAAGAAATTTTCTAAAAATCAGCATTTTTCAGAAAATGCATTTAAAACTCAAGAAAATCCTGAAAAATAAGAAAATTCTAACGAGAGATTCAAAAATAAATTTTATTTGTCTTAAATAAATAATTTATTCAAATGAATAAGGGTTCAAACACTCAAAGCAAAAGAGAAAACTATTTTAAATTTGTTTTCGTGAATTAACTTTTGGATTCGTTTTTGTCTGTCAGCATACAAAAAAATTGCTATATCTTCATTTCTAAAAATCGGAAATAAAAATTTTAAAGGGTTTTGGAAAGCTAATAAACTGAAGTTTATATATGGATAATAATAAAAAAAGAAGTCAAAATTTCTGTTTAAATTGTCAATTTTCACCCTGCCATTTACCTTATCAAATCTTTTATATTATTTATCTAAATTCTCTTTTTAAATTCATAGTACAAAATAGATTAAAAAATGCAGTAATAATTATCATGATAATGTTTTCCCTTAACGAAATTGGAAGTCTTGTGGTGGGAAAACTAACACATTATGCACTGGTCTGTTATAAATGTTGAATCATTTTTTGTAGCACATGTGATTGGGAAGACTTATAAAAATTTTCCTTTAAAATCCCTAACGTACAAGTTAAAGCACATCGTTTTCAATGAAATTAGATGCTCCTACTACTATTCACTGTGATTAAGTAATGAATTAAAAACATATTTTCTTTCACTCGCATGCTCACATTTATTTTCTATCTCAGCCAGACTGCTTTATTTCATGCCTATATACAGTAGAGAACCGATTATCCAGAACGATCGGATAACTAATTTTTCCAGTTTTCTGAATCGCTTCAAAAAGCAGTTTTTTTTATTGTCAAACCCAAGTTAAAAAAAAAAATTTTTTAGAAATAATTTAAGGAATAATTTTGAAAATTGAATGTTCAACATTCAATTTTCAAAAGAAGAAAAAACGAAAAATAATACACATAAGTTTAATAAGATAAAAGGGGAAAAAATAATGAAATAAAAATATATACAGGCTTAGTATAAAATAATACAAAAAAGGTAAAATGGAAAAAAAGGGGGGATGGGCTCAATCTTCCTTGTCGCTTTCTTCTACTTCGTCGTTGTCTGCATCAGGACTCAAAACCATCCACTCCATTTTTTACTTCATTATGAACAAATGGAAAAATCACAAACATTTCTTTTCCCTCCCTCCTATGCGTGAGAAAGACAACGTCAAATATAATTCTGGTTGCGGGGGGGGGGGGGNGCGGGGGGGGGGGGCGGAGAAGAATCCTTCGAAAATTTCTGGAGAAAAGAAAAACACAATTTTTTACTTTATTATTCTCAAATGAGAAGGGAAAAGTCGCGAGCATTTCTTTCCCCTCCTATGCACGAGAAAGACATCATTTGAATATAATTCTGGATGGAAAAAAAATCCTTCAAAAATTTCTGGAGAAAAGAAGAAAAAAAATTTTACTTCATTATTCTCAAATGGGAAGAGAAAAATCGTGAACATTTCTTTTCCCTCCTTCTACGCACTAGAAACACATTGTTTGAATATAATTCTGGGTGAAAAAAAATCTTTTGAAAATTTCTGCTGGAAAGAAATTTAAAATTTTTTACTTCCCAGAGGAAAAATATTTCTGCAAAAAACTCACTAACATTCTGCAACAATATC